TATGCTACCAACCTGTTTGTTAACTGTCTTTCTGAACATTCAAGCAACCAGTAACAGTATAGTAGAAGTCTGGGAGCTACCGGAAACCACCTACAGCTCTTAACACTGACAGCCACAGATTCAGCACCTCTTGGACATCAGAAAACATAATACCTGGAGCTGGAGGCGTACGCAGAATAACTTCCTGGCTCCAAGGGCTACAGATGCACCCTTTAAATCCTCGAACTCTGAAGACATAGCTGCTGTCGTCATCAAGATCAGATATTACTTTGCTTTTGCTGCAGACTTTGATCTCCTGCCACGTTGCACTCTCCTCTTCTCTATTAAGCTTATGATACTCCAGAGCATAGATATCAGCTGAGTCTATCTTCCCAGGGCATTCCCAACTGATCAGAGCTTTGTTGTACATTCTGCTTCGCTTTTTGTTGATTTGTGGTACTTCTAGACCTGGAATAACAGAGATTCAGGAGAAAAAAATCTCAAATTTAGATATACTTTGTTTTAGAATTAACCACACAAGCCCTTTGTTCAGTGGCTATAGCATGGGGGAGGGGATGGGGGGAAGACGAGGAATATGACAGTTGAAGTGTGCAGATAAGGATGGTTCTGTTCATCCACTTAAATAAATCCCTTACTTTCTGTTTTTATTTTGAAAGCTGTATTATTTATTTTGATAGCAGATAAAAAACTATATAAAATCCTATTTTTTTCCCAAGAAAAAGCTTCTAGGAAGACCTAGTACTGCTTAACTACAATATTTTGGAAGCCAAAGTATTTGTAGTATTTGTAAACTGGTACGGAGTGCAATGGCATCTTAGCTTCTTTGTCAAAGCTGAAGCTAGCACTGGTGCCAGGTAATGCCCTGTGGATCATGGAGACAGAAAGGACAGTGCTGGTCACCAGACTGAGTTCTGCAATTGCAGTCCTGTGTAAGTTCTGTTTCTTTCCAGAGAAGCCCTTAAAGTCATAATTCAAGAAAGACCTGATGCTCTTGCAACTTACCACTGGAATGGAAGGACAAGTCACCAAGGATCTCTTCTTGCTTGGCTATGTCCACCACAAAGTCTTCAAAAGTAGTTTCAGCGGCTGGCTTGAAGCTCTTCAGAGATTCAGTAGCTTTTTGGATTCTGAAAGCACAGGAGCAGATGGATAGCAGAAGAGAGAAGAGGGAATTCACATTGGTGCATGCTTTAAAGTAAAAATGCTAGTTTTTGCTTTGAAAAAAGTTCTGGTTTCATGTACTTACTGATGTCTCCCAGGAATTTCTCTCTCTAGACAAAGTTTAAATGCAAAATTTAAAGGGCTTTTGAACATCAGTGTAAAGATAAATTGTTCAGTTGGCAGGGCATTTGAACAATTTGGGGCATTATGTTCAAAGAACAAAATAGGTGTGAAGCGCTAATGGAGAACAACGTTAAGATCAAAGACTAGAAATCCAGAGGAGACCTGTTAGATTAACTTGCAAATATGTGATATGATCTCTGAGCAAAGGAATGTGTCAGTGAGCTGAATGGGCTACCTTTCCACTCCGTCATACCGAACAAGGCTGGGTGTCGCCGAAGGACAAAGCCCGTCCCGTGTGCTGTTTCTTAACGCCCACTCTAAAGTAGCGATTTCTGCCCAAAAGTACCAGGACCATCCCTGCGCCTCTGCAACGCGAGGTACTGCATCCAGTACTTTGCTAGCAGGTGTCAGAAGAATATGACTGACCAGACACCCTGGAAGAGTACCTCTGCCTCAAACAGAAGACAATTTGAGATACCTGGCATGAAGTCGCTTCGCTGTTTGAACAAAATAAGACGGATCCGTTTCTTTAAGCACTTCTTGAGCGTATCCTACAAGGCCATGATTTTCCAGGAGCCCTTGATATTCTTCTGCCTGCATTTGCAATTTTTCCAGCCTTGCATTCTTAGAAGCTTCAATTGCCCTAAGAGCTTCAGATTTCTTCTCTTCCAGGACACCAGACAGTTTCTCAAAACACTGAGATGCTTCTTGTTTAGCTCTTTCACTGTTGCACTAGGAAGGAACAAAAGACATTCTACACAGATCCCACAGCACTGTGGCTGTGTACAGAAACATATTTAAGGTTGTTCAAGAAATTGTAGCAATCTAGTCAGTCATCCATTTGACAGACAAGTTAATGAGCTTTGTTATGCTCTTCAGCACTGAAAATGCAATCAGCACTGCACCCAATCTACTAAGCATTTACTACCTTGACACAGAGAACAAAGAGCAGGAAAGTTTTCTTCTGATTATGTCTTGAGTTATGCATGGCATTTGTCTAAACAAACATGGAAATGCAGTGTAAAAGCAAGTCAGTCTGAAGTCTTCATGCCCAAGAGCTAGCTGCTTTTCCACCTCCCCCAGTCACGCCAAACTGGGGGTCCAAGCCCGGTTTCTCACGTGCGCTCAAGCCCGGTTTCTCACGTGCGCTCTCAGAACTGTAGTACCACCTCTGACTAGTGCCCTGGATAAAAGGAACTACAAAAGCACGAAGTCAATCTGTATCAAGATACGGGGAGAACCAGGAGCTCCTGCAATTTCTGCCATCACGTAAATTTTCGTCTTGTATGTGAGTTCCCACCTCTGACTCGTCTGCAAGCAGATTTTGCCCTTAATCCTTACTGCAACATCCTCAAGGCAAACAGACAGAGGAAATTGTGCAGCACCATGAATAAACAAGAACTCGAAGCCTATCCCACTTCTCTTTGGTAAAGGTATCACATAAGCTTTGTTTCAATTAAATTTACGGCAGCACCCGAAAACTTAACTTCCCTCTGCATGCTGCCCAAATTTCCCACACTGTCTTACTGTGTGTGATTGAGGACTAAAACTGTTCAGATACTGTTTTACTGGCTAACTAAAAAAACCCGGGGGGTTTGAAACACTCCACTGAAAACAGCTTGAGTCCCTGCTGCATCCCTGAAAGGGCCGTTCCCTGACAACCCGCAGGTCACTCTCACCTCTGTTTCCTTCAGCAGCAGATCCAGGTGTGTGATGTGAGCCTTCACCTGGCTGTCCTTACTGATGAGGTAATCAATGTCTTTTGAAAGCTTCTCCTGTTAAAATAAAACAGCAACCTGGCAGAGTAAGTGTATCCCACCCAAACTGACAGGCAGCACAGGCAGGTGATACAGCTAGCACTCGGTTTATCTAGTTATAGAGATGACAGCAACTCCACAGAGAACGGCCCCATGACCTCCAATGAGCATGCAGGGACATCAGGCCTCTGCTGTGAGCAGGACTGGGGGCACAGCCCCTCAGGACAAGAGGTAACAGCCTCAACTGTCTCACTTCCCCAGACACAGGAGCCACTCTCTCTTAGGCTAGGAACACGAGGCTTCAGGACAAGTTTACTAAAACTTACAGAAAAGCCTTGTTATTGACTCATTTGTAGTAAGATTTGCTGGAAAATGTGCGGTTCAAAGCACGAACTTATGCGTGTCTCTGCATTTCCCTCGTTGCAAGAGTTAACAGCTGTACAGGAAAAGCCTTGCAAACAGGCGAGGAGGCCAAAGAGCACTCGGCAGGCTGGTCTGGTCTCTTTTGTGTGTGTGTGTGTGTGTGAGGAAGAAAGGAAGAAAAGGAATAAGAGGAGGTGGCAGCAATCATTCTTTAATAACAAAGCAATGTTTGCAAGGCTTCCCTTTTGTACTGTGCTTAGGTAATTGACAGCTATGCCACTTCAGAAACATGTAAGGTCTCAACAGATATTTCAGATGCAAATTTTTCAGTGCTGTTCCTACAGTAGCAGCTAACCACAGGGACTGAACGCCCGGGGGAAAAGCTAGATTGTAAAGTACTAACTGCTTAAACCTTCTGCATTGGTCTGTACTGCTGTACAGTTGGCTAAAACAAGATGGAAGCACTTTCAAGGGGTTACGTTTCAAGCTTCATAGAAATGATAGTTTAGCTTCTCAGGCATGCGCTATGTCACACCAATGTACACGTTAACAGATGTTGCACAACAGCATGCCTCACGACTAGTCCAGTGTCCTTTACAGGCACGTCCTGGCTTCCTGCCAGACAGAGTTTGCCCTTACACCAGAAGCTCACTAGTCTTCCACTCCTTAAGGCCGGGCCCCATAGTATTTGCTTTTACCTTAAGGGTTTTGTAGGCAGTGCTCATGGTTGTTACTCTATGGTTCGCATGACTTCCACCCAGTTTACAAAGATGGCAAACAGGCCTTCTGCAGATTTCACAGTACATGTTTACCCGCTCCATTTCATGTTCTGGACACATCAAAATCTGGAGGAAAAAAAAAAAAGGCAGAGCAGAGGGAATGCAGACGTACTTCCAAAAACTGAGGCGCTCAACAAAGCATCAAAACGCTCAATCATCCCACAAAAGCATCTGATTCTATTTTTACATTTGGGTTATCTTTCACCTTTTACGTTTGTCCATGCCAGTGAAAACCAGCGGATGAACACACGCAGGTTCAGGAGGTTTACAGTGAGTAAACAGGCGGCAATGTCTGTGAGCGCATCACAGAGCCTCCATACTGCAATCAACGGTTCTAATTATCCCTGAAGTTGTTGGCATGCCTCAAGCTCCCTACACTCCTGTTCAGAGCTGTAAATGCAATATATAACACACCCGCCCTGTTGAATTTAACCCTGTCCGTGCCAGCATCTCAGCCGTCCCCTGAAATGGTTATGAGCTGTTTCTTAGAGCAAAAGCTGACATAATACTGTAATGATTTGTCTAAGTTAGACTCCGATCAGCCACACAGCCATTGCCCTTGGAGCAACAAACGAAATGCAGCCGCCACCACCAGTCACAGTCATTTTAAAGACAAAAGGCTCCAGTGTTTCCACTTCTCTGTCTGACTCCAATTACAAGTCGCTCATGCCGGGCGCTAAATCCAGTATCAGCTTAAACAGCATTGCAAAGAAGCTGGTGTTTGCTAAAAATCTTTCAAAACTTGAACAGGTTGAAATAACTGCTTGAAGAGGGAAAAAAAAAAAGAGAAGTGCTGCTCAACTCCAAGCCCAAACAACAGATGAAACCTTAATAAAGGGGAGGTGGGGGTGTAAAAAAAATTAAATCCCTTGCCTCATTCCAGAGCAGTGAAAGACAACAATTGGGTCCATCGACTCTGTTACCAAAGAAGAGCTCTTGAGAAAGCTTTTCAGTTTCGTGTCAAGGAGAATAAGGCAGCAGTGCCAATAGTCAAGGCTTAGAAGTATCAGCTTTTAACATGTAGACACAAAAAATAGAACAGGAAAGGGCACAAAAATAGAGATTTGTGAAAAGTATTAAGTATGGACACACTAAGCTAAAATTGCAGACCATCTCTGAAACCAACTCCCAGGCCCAAATGTTATCTTAGGCTATAGTGAAAAGGCCAAAGACACCAGTCTCACCAGTGCCTTGGTACACAAGACTCTCATTAAGCAGAATATGCAACGAGCTGTCCTGCTGTCATTGACATCTGGGGTATTTTTAAAAAACAAAGGAAACTTTCAGGAAAATCAGCTGTGCAGGCAAACACCTCCGAAAACTGCAGTCAAGCTGTTAGTCTGTACAACTAATTTTTCCACAGTGGTGCATAGTCACACCTAACAGAAACCACTTATTTTTATTCATCTCCTCGTATAAGTAGGAATTATAGCCTACAACCTAGAGACAGAAGAGGTCACGTTACCTTGTCTAGTTCTCTCAAAATTCAAGAACAGTCAGGCCAGTATGTGCTCCTCTCATCCCCACCACACAGGTTACAAAGTGCTCTCCAGTCTGGTGGCAAATTAAAGAGATGACTGGGAACGTTGTTTGGGAGACCAGCGAATACTCCATGCATTCCGTTCAGGTCTCAACAATGCAGTGCAATGAAAAAGGCACTTTTCTTTCTTTATATTAAGCTCAAACAGTCCTCAAATAAGTCTCTATAGGAGCACAGTAAAGATCAGTTTACTGTAGTTGGGAAGTTTTTCTACAAAGTAGATGTATCTACAGCTGATTTAACTACTCTACTTTTTTTTTTTTCCCCCCTTCTTTTTTTAAACAGGTGTCATGGTTTAGATGCAGCCAGGAACACAAGGACAAGCAGCGGCTTGCTCACTCCTCTCCTGGTGGGATAGGGAGGAGAAAGTTATCTGGAAAAGTTCATGGCCAGAGGCAAGGACAG